GCCTCTCTAATCTCCCTGAGCATTTCAGTCACAATCATCATCTTGGTCAGGTGGTCGGTAATATCTCCCTACTGCTATAGTCTTATTATCAGAGCGTGGAATTTCTATCTATAGAGACTCTATGGTACAGTTGGGTTCATTTAAGATTTTTACTTCATTTGATTTTACCCTTTCTTTCACAAATGGTGCCACTCCCCCACCAGCACGACCTGTTCTGTCCTTCCGATATGTTTTGTACCCTGGTATTACTGTGTCCCACTGATTATCCTCATTCCACCAAGTTTCTGTGATGCCTGTTACATCGATATCCTCGTTTAATATGAGACACTCTAGTTCACCCATCTTATTCTTTAGACTTCTAGCAATTGTATATAAGCACTTTAAAAACTTGTCACTTTTTAGCTGTCTGCCATTTCGTGATGTAATTGAATAGGACTTTTTTCATTTGACTGTTTCTCATCAGATACTACCCGTCTTTTATCTTTCATCCTCTCCTCCTTACTAGGACATAGACAATCCCCATTAATAGATCATCTGCTAAGGGATGTCTTTGTTCAAACTATATGCTTCTCTACACCTGTCAACTTTCCCCCAGCCCTTAATTTAAAAACCACTCTATGGCCTTTTTAATTTTAAGTACCAGGAATCTGATTCATTTTGGTTTAGGTGGAGCCCATCCTTCCTTTATAGTCTACTTCTTTCCCAAAAGTTTTGCCAGTTCCTAATAAATCTACAAACCCCCCACCCCACCCCCACACACACACCATGGTCTCATCCACGCATTGTGACCTTGCAGTTCTGCCTAACTGGCCCTGCGTGTGGAACTGGAAGCATCTCAGAGAAGGGTACCATGGAGGTCCTGAATTTCAATCTCGTACCTAAAAAGAAAATGAGGACCTGTGGCACCTTAGAGACTAACAAATTCATTTGAGCATAAACTTTCGTGAGCTACAGCTCACTTCATCGGATGCATTCAGTGGAAAATACAGTGGGGAGATTTATATACACACAGAACATGAAACAATGGGTGTTACCATACACACTGTAAGGAGAGTGATCACTTAAGATGAGCTATTACCAGCAGGAGAGCGGGGGGGAGAGGGGGGTATTCTATCTGCTACCCAAGATCCATAAACCTGGAAATCCTGGGCGCCCCATCATCTCAGGCATTGGCACCCTGACAGCAGGATTGTCTGGCAACGCTTCCTCAGCTCTCGTCCCCTAACGCCCCTACTCTACTTGCGCTATATTGATGACATCTTCATCATCTGGACCCATGGAAAAGAAGCTCTTGAGGAATTCCACCATGATTTCAACAACTTCCATCCCACCATCAACCTCAGCCTGGACCAGTCCACACAAGAGATCCACTTCCTGGACACTGCAGTGCTAATAAGCGATGGTCACATAAACACCACCCTATACCGGAAACCTACTGACCGCTATTCCCACCTACATGCCTCCAGCTTTCATCCAGACCACACCACACGATCCATCGTCTACAGCCAAGCTCTGCGATACAACCGCATTTGCTCCAAGCCCTCAGACAGAGACAAACACCTACAAGATCTCTATCAAGCTTTCTTACAACTACAATACCCACCTGCGGAAGTGAAGAAACAGATTGACAGAGCCAGAAGAGTACCCAGAAGTCACCTACTACAGGACAGGCCCAACAAAGAAAATAACAGAATGCCACTAGCACCTTCAGCCCCCAACTAAAACCTCTCCAACACATCATCAAGGATCTACAACCTATCCTGAAGGACGACCCATCACTCTCACAGATCTTGGGAGACAGGCCAGTCCTCGCTTACAGACAGCCCCCCAACCTGAAGCAAATACTCACCAGCAACCACACACCACACAACAGAACCACTAACCCAGGAACCTATCCTTGCAACAAAGCCTGTTGCCAACTGTGCCCACATATCTATTCAGGGGACACCATCACAGGGCCTAATCACATCAGCCACATGATCAGAGGCTCGTTCACCTGCACATTTACCAATGTGATCTATGCCATCATGTGCCAGCAGTGCCCCTCTGCCACGTACGTTGGTCGAACTGGACAGTCTCTACGTAAAAGAATAAATGGACACAAATCAGACGTCAAGAATTATAACATTCATAAAGCAGTCGGAGAACACTTCAATCTCTCTGGTCACTCGATCTCAGACCTAAAAGTGGCAATTCTTCAACAAAAAAACTTCAAAAACAGACTCCAATGAGAGACTGCTGAATTGGAATTAATTTGCAAACTGGATACAATTAACTTAGGCTTGAATAGAGACTGGGAGTGGATGGGTCATTACACAAAGTAAAATTATTTCCCCATGTTTATTCCCCCCCACACACACACACACACACACTGTTCCTCAGACGTTCTTGTCAACTGCTGGAAATGGCCCACCTTGATTATCACTACAAAAGGTTTTCTCCCCCCCCCCGCTCTCCTGCTGGTAATAGCTCATCTTAAGTGATCACTCTCCTTACAGTGTGTATGGTAACACCCATTGTTTCATGTTCAGTGTGTATATAAATCTCCCCACTGTATTTTCCACTGAATGCATCCGATGAAGTGAGCTGTAGCTCACGAAAGCTTATGCTCAAATAAATTGGTTAGTCTCTAAGGTGCCACAAGTACTCCTTTTCTTTTTGTGAATACAGACTAACATGGCTGCTACTCTGGAATCTCGTACCTAACAGCCTAAATTTGGCCTCTAGGACCTCTCTCCTATCCTTCCCTATGTCACTGCTACATGTACCATGACCACCGGCTCCTCCCCAGCACTACACATAAGTCTGTCTTGATGTTTCAAGAGATCCGCAACCTTTGCACCTGGCAGGCAAGTCACCATACGGTTCTCCCGGTCATCGCAAACCCAGCTCTCTATGTTTCTAATGATCGAATCTCCCATTACTAACACCTGTCTCTTCCTAATAACTGGAGTTCCCTCCCGCTGGGAGGTATCCTCATCTGGAAGGAGGGTCGCAACTATGGGATCGTTTCACTCTGCTCCAGTTGGATGTTCTCCTTCTCTGAGATTTTCATCCTCCTCAACAGCACAGAGGCTGTCAGACTGGGGGTGGGACAGTTCTACTGTGTCCCGGAAAGTCTCATCTATTTACCTCTCTGTCCCCCTTAGCACCTCCAGTTCAGTCACTCTGGTCTCCAAAACCCGTACACGGTCTCTGAGGACCAAGATCTCCTTGCACTGAATGCACACATATGCCACCCACCCATAAGGCAGGAAATCACACATGCTGATGTTGTCAGATGTTCGGCTGTGTGTTTGGGTTCTTTCTGTGTGCTAGACTGGCTCTGGCCAGATAGCCCATACAGCAGGCTCCGGTTGAACTTCCCAATAAGATCATAAACTTTGTTTAGTAGTGAAGGCATCTGGGTAGGTTATTGCTGATGAAGAACGGTGCTAATGCCCCAGTGCAATGGTTGCAGGTACACTAACACAGGTATGCCCATAACAACGAACCAGCTCAGGCAGTGGTGGGATTTTCCACTGCCTTAGGCCAGACAAAGGGTTAAGGCAAGGTATTCCAAAATTTATAGACTGAGACAAACAAACAACTTGAGATAAACTTACATATCCCCTTATGCATTTCCTGACATTTTTGTTACCTCCCCTTGTACTTTCCTCCCAATGTTTCAGACAAAACATCTCTATTCATCACTTCTGTCAAACCATTTTATCGTGTGCGAGGTTGGGGTGTTCTTGTGCTGGCCTGCTGGAATGCTAGCAATACCGGTGCCGAGTTTGTGTCCCGGACATCGACTTGCAGGCAAACAACAGCTTTTGACAGGGCCTGACAGTTGCTCAGAGCATAACTTGTACTTACTCTGGTTCAGGCCTCAGGCTTTGCACCAGGCCCATGCCTCAGGCTCTCTCTTTCTACTACAGATGTATTCAGTGCAATTAACTGGATAGCCCCCCAGTCTGTTGCTGGTCGTCTGCCTGTGTTCTCTTTTTACTCCTGCAGTGGGTTCTTTTGTTGCTGTTTTCTTTTCTTAGTAGGGAGGGTTTATTGCCTTAAGTGTAAAGAATGGTAATGAAGTATGTCTAGCCCCTCATTCTCAACTCCCTCACAAAACTCCTGTTAGCTGCTCCTGGTTGCTGTCTCCTCTGGTGGCTTAGGAGTGGGCTTTTGAAACCTCTGTTCTTCCTGAGTAACCCTGCTGCCTGGTTAAGGGTTGATGGGTGCTAAAGAGCTTGGGGATCAAAGCCTCATTAAGAAGCTCTCAGTCTTGCCTAGCAGGCCATGAGGCTCAGCACACAGTCCCCCAGACAAACAGACCACATTATGACAATAAGTTACATGCAAAGTAAAATTACAACACACATTCTAGAGTCTAGACTTAATTAACAAGGTACTCGCACGCCTTGGAAGATGCTGCTCACCCAAAATCTCTGCAGCTAGGCTGGCTGGAACACCCCTTTCCTGAGACAAGCATGCTGTCAGTTTGCCTCCATGGTGAAGAATTCATTATGTCCCTTGGCCTCCCTATATACGCCCAAACAATCCTTTGTCTGCATTAAAAAAACAGGACACCCTCTGCCTGCTGTTTGTTTCATCGTCCTGATTTCCTTTCTTGTAGATTTCACAAGCTCTTGATTAGTGCCAAGCATAATATGCAAATAGTCTCAAAGTGCAAGGTAGATGATACACACACGGCCAGACAAGGAGACAGCTCTCTGTTACCTCAGAGGTGTTCCTTTCAGACAGGAAGAATGTGACTTCCTGACGACCAGCCCTAACTCCAAGAACATAATTTCCAATATAGGTAACTCCTTAAATATTATCTGCACACACATTTCACCACCTGAGTGACTGGTTCCTGGCACAGACCTCACATGCTGCCCTTCAGTGAATTATTATGCATAGATCTGACCCAGGGGATTCTCTGTAAAACCCTATGCACCTGTTGGCACCAAAAGTTCCCTGGGACACAAGCCCCCTAATGGAGACACAATTCAAGTCTCTAGGCACAGCCAAGTTCTTCTGCTAGACAATGAAAGTCATGCTGGTCGTATTCATTGTGAGAAAGGAGAAAAAGCCGTGGGGTGTGGAGCCCTTCTCTTTCCAGGCATTCTATGCAGGTGTTCTTGATTTGCTCCAGGATTCTTGACTCACTGAAGTTTCTCTTTCTTCTGTTATTGTACAGGTCCACATCCACCTTGGAGCGCACAAAATAAACCTTCTTTCCCATTCGTTGGATCTCCTGGGCGAGGTTGGCATGGAGGGTTGTAAAGTTGTCAGAGGAGAAGATGAGGAACACATCAGACTTGCTCAATTCGATGTCCCTGTCCAGTGAAAACTTCCCCAGGATGATTCCTGGCATGTCCCATATCGTTACGTTTGGGTGTTTGGGATGCTGATAAGACTTCCTCTTCTTTGTTGTCTCAATCACCCCAGTCCGGGCAGCATTGTCATCTTCATCTTGCAGGCCCCGAATTCCGTTGATGAAGGAGGACTTCCCACAGCCTGTCTCTCCCAGGAGAGCAATATTAAGCCCAGTGCTTGGTAGTGACTCATGAGAACCAGAAACTGAGTCTGAAAGGTCTCCTGTTCCAGAAGCAGCCCCTAGTTCTTCACCACCATCTTGAGAGAGATTGGTGCTGTCTCCGTCAGGACATAGGAGTCGTTCCTTGGGCTCCAGCAGACAGTCTTCAAAAAGGAGGAGAAATATTTTGGTTACTCTTTGCTTTAAAGTTACTGGTTGAATACTAAACTCTCTGCACAAGCTACAGCCTTCAGCATCGTTCTCTGGAGGCTAGAGGTGAGTTGCAGCAAACTATGAAACAGTCTGTTAAAGGAGTTTGATAACAACACCTTCCCGATCCCCCACAAAAGCACAGTTTCCACTAACTCGGGAAGTCTTGGGCTCACAGGGTCAGATCCCAGGCTCTTTGCTCTGCTCTGGTTGCATCAAGGAGTCACAAAACTGCCCTCATTGGGCAGCTGAAGATACCCCCAAGTTTTGTGGAGCTACCGTTGGTGGCTCTATGCCACCCCACTCCCAACACCCTGATGGACAAGCCTCTTAGAGTGTGCCCAGGGCATCAGATGTGCATTGCCGTGATCTGGCTATCCTCAACCAGCATAACAACCCCTTGGGGTCAGTTAGCAGAGAACATAAATTAGGACAGCCTTAGGGCATTTAGTTGCCACAGGGTTCAGGGAACACAAATATGGCATATAGTCACTTTTGCCCCCATCTCGGGTTCTGTGCCAAGCACTGCTTGGCTGTACCTTTGGATTGGGCAATTAATTACAAAACACTGGGCCCAGATGATGTAACATGTAATTTATCACTCATCTTTTGCTACTGGAGTGATATAAAAGGGTTTAAGTGTCACTGATCAGGTCCACTGAAATCACATGCAGTTAACCTTGTTTATGAGGGCTTCGCTACAGGTCAGCCCAGACTTGCAAAAGACTTTGCAGTCTCTTCATGTTCATAAAGCCATGAACAAGGCCAGGTTTGCCTGAAGAGTTGCAAAGCCTTTTACAAGTCTTTATGAGCCATGGACCACTGTCACGGATCAGCTTGCAGGACTGGGGCCATATATTTCCAGAATTAGGGCCATATTATAGAGAGACAGTGCCAGAGGGCTTCCAATCTATTTAATGTGTCCTTTAATTATCTAGAAGAAGGGAGGAAACTGCATGTTATTTAAATTCACAGGCCATTCTAACTCAATGTTGAGCTGCAAACACCGATGAGGACATAGGAATAATGCAGTGTGACCTAGAGAAATTAAAAACATGTGCTGGTCTATGAAAATGCACAGGAATATTGGTGGGGAACTAACACACCATGAACTGTGCTGCCTTCCAGCTAGCTGGACAATGGATAGGTGTAAAATAATATTTCAAATAAAAGGGACATTTCTTGCAATGTTTATGTGTCCCAAAATCCTGATGTCTGTAATTCAAGAAGGATGTTGATAAGGGGGTGAGAGAAGAGCCACAAGAATGATTCTGTGTGGGCAACAAATATTGGATAACGGGCTTTTCAGTCAAGCAGAGGAAGGTCTGACACAATCCAACGGCTGGGAGTTGAAGCTAGACAGATTCAGACTGGAAATAAGGCATCAGTGTTTAACAGCGAGGGAATTAACCAATGGAATAATTTACTCGGGGTCATAGTAGATTCTCCATCACTGACAGGTTTTAAATCAAAATGCCTCAATGCATCTTTGAACTAGCTTTTCTTCTTGCACCCAAACACACCTTCTTCCATACAGAATTATTTTACCTTCTTCTCTGGGATTCAGTGTCCCCCTTTCATGGTCCCCTGCTTCAGACCTACTCTGGATGATTCCATGGCTTTCAGGTCTTGGATTTTCATTCCTGGCTGGCCTCTAGAAAAGATTCATATTTGAAGAGGAAGAAAATTGGTTATTGTTAGGAACCAAAGAATATTTCCAAGGCTATGTCTACACTTCACAGCTTTTAGCAACAAGGCTTTGTCAACACAGCAGTGTAGCCGCTGTTTGTTGGCACTTTCGCTGACTAAATACTTCTACCCTCCACGAGCGGCGTTCGCTTTGTTGGCAGGGTCTTTCGCAGGGAGTTTTGTTGCTCAATTGCAAGTGTAGACATACCCTAATAGTAATACCTAGAAGAGCAGGTCCCCTCAAGCTGTTTACCCTTAGCCACTGGGTACATCTATACTGCGGTTTAAAGCCTGTGGCAGTGAGTCTCGGCGCCCGGGTCTACGGCACTAAAAACAGCCGTGTAGATGTTGAGGTCAGACTTCTTCACAAATCAGTTGTCCTCCTGGGTGGTGTTACTGGGGCTCTGGAACAGGGCCCATCACACATACACAAACAAAGAAGGAAATACAAATGGTCTGGAGAGTTACCTGGAGGCAGTCATCAGGGGGGTGCGGGGCTGTGGTGCATACTCCTGACTTCTGGGTTTCCCAGGGTCTAAATGGCTGCAGATTCTTGAGTGACTGCAGCAGGGAAGGATAGCGGCTCTTAAGGATAATATATATTAGTGGTGGAATGGTAACACAAAGCAGAAGAAGCCAGAGCCATGATGAGTGGGCATTCTCAGGAGCTGTAAGAGACAAAAATAATTGCAAGAGATGCCTAAAAACACAACTGAGAGAGGGGAAATTTCAAAATCCTTCCCTTTGAAATACGCAAGGAGCTCTGCAGCATCTTCATATCATAGAATATAATAGCCAGACTGGCAAATGGAAATATCCCCTCCCGTTCCCGCTCCCATCCAGCCTCTCCACTCTCCCCTCCCATTCGCCCCCACACTTAGCCCCCATGCCCTCCTCATCCCACTCCCCCACCCTGCCTGGCCCCCCGTTCCCACATCACCCACCTCCCCCACCCTTCCCTCCCATTCCCTTGTCACCCAGCCCTCATCCATCTTACTCAGCCGCCCTCCCCTCCCATTTCCCTCCTTGCCTAGCCCCACTCCTCTCTCACACCATCCCCCCAACCCTCCTCTTCCAGTTCCATCTGGTCTCCGCATTGTGCATCCCCATCAAACCCTCCATTCCCCAGCCCCCACCTCCAGTGCCATTTACAGCTCTACAAGATCCCTGTGCCTACACTGAGCTGTCCAGGTCTTTTCCCTGAGTAGTTATGGCTAGTTCAGAACCCAGTGATACGTCTGAGTTGATCAAATGGTCCTGGCTACCAAGCTTTGGGATTTTGCTGCATTCTGAAAGTGGAGCCCTACCTTTCTCCACGGTCACTCTCATTCGCATGGAAAACCTGCCCAGTTCCGGCTTGACGTGGCAGGTGTAGAAACCCTTGTCCTCCAGCCGGACGTTCTTGAGTCTCAGGGACGCATTTCCCTCATGGAATCTCTCCGGATACAGCTGGGTCCGGCCCCGGTAAGCCTCATCCTGTGTTTCCAGCTGGTCCAGCTGAGAAAAATAGCTGTGAACCAGGAGATCTGATCCCTTCTTCCAGGTGATGTTCAATAGTTGAAGGTTTGACACAGGTCCGAAGGAGCAGTTCATGATGACGTCCTCCCCTTGCTGAGCGCTGATGGTCTCCTCTACTTGAATCTCCCCTTAGAGAGAAGAAAGTTGGGATTATTCATCCCAGCTCCACCCACACTTTTTGCCAAATATTTTTGTTTAATTTTTCAGAAAACTTCCACCAACAAAACACACAAAGAACCTTACTCATCACACACACAACAGCCCATAAACAGATTTTCCATAATCTAAGAAGAATTCACAGCATATTATTTCTCTGTCAATATTTTCTCTAGGGAAAAATATGTTCTTCACCCATGTTCCTCCACCCCAAAATTTACTACTATAAAAATGTGTACAACAACCATGCCAGCCACCCCACCATTGGGATATCAGTGGGGATGGGACCTCGACACTTTCAGTGCCAAAAACATAAGTTTCTACTGCATGAGCTAAAAGAGTAACTCCTTTACCTGGCAGCAGTAGTTGGTTGTTCTCATTTTACGTGGAACAGGCACTAGAGGGGGGATAAAGACACTGTGGGATAGTGTGACCTACACTTGTGTGGAAAGGCAGAGTTTCACAGAGTTTAAGGGAGATCATCTAGTCTAATCTCCTGTATAGCACAGACCATTAAATTCCACCTAATTACCCCCATATTGAGCCCAGTTACTCTAATTAGACTAACACGTTTCAGTTCTCATGCAGAGAGCAGGAGAGCCAATTATTTTCTCCGCCGGCACAACTGGAGATGTGCAAGGTGCCTCCAAATGCCCAGGGAGTGGTCCAGCACTACACCTCCTCTTGCAATGGGCGGTGTCTAACAGGCACAACTGGTGTTGATTTATGCAGCACCATCAATGATTTATGCCACAACTTTTCTCAGAGGAGAATTATACAGCCTCTGACACAGCCATGTAATCATAGTGCCCGGGGCCGTGACAGGGCGAGTCCGCACTGGAGAATGGAAGCTCGTCAGATGCTAGGAAAGTGCACAAGAATCACCATCATACTTATCACTGAGAGTGGCATCGTTCTAGAAGTTGAGTTCAGTTCAGAGTTGACATAGCAGCAGTACGATCCCTCATCCTGCATGCGGACACTATGGAGTTGTAAGGATGCATTTCCTTCAGGGAATCGCTCTGGGAAAAGCCGTGTGCGGCCCTTGTAATCTTTGTCCTGTTTATATAGTTGGTCCATCCCCCAGTAGTATTTGTGGACCAGCAGACCTGGTCCGTTGTCTCTTTCCTTCTTCCAGGTGACAATCAAGCGCTGAAATTTCACCCCAGATATGAAAGGGAAGGTGCAGTTCAGGATGACGTTCTCTCCATACTGAGCAGTGACGGGCGACTGAGCTCCAGCAACCCCTTAAAGGCAAGCAAAGGTGCCAGAATCTTTTAACTTCAGCCTGTTTCCCCTCTCTCTCCCCAGATATTTGTACAGGTTCTTTGAAAAACCTACCACACAGGTGAAAGGTCTGTTCCATTTCCTACAGAGACACGGTGGTTACATAGTTCATTATTAATAAATAATATATTGTTAAAAATCACAATACAATATTCCTCTGTTCTAAATACCAGTTGTTAGTTGGACCTCAGCTGCTGAGTAGATTAGTGGATCTGGTCAAAAATGTCTCTCCCTCCCCCTATGGAAATATTCTATAAAAAACAAGGAAAAATAGTTTCCACCAAAATTTTCAACTGATGCCTCATTGAGTCCTGGACATGGTGCATCATGGAAGATGTAGTCCAGCTAGGGAGCTTGGCCCATACAGGAAAATGAGGACGTGAGGACAACAACTCCTATGAGGCATCACGAAGCATTTTCAGCCAAAAACCAGAAACGTTTCGGGTTTTAGACATTCAGTTTTTCTAAAACCAAAATGCAAAATTCTGTTCTTTGCTTTCTGAAATCTGGAAAAATCAAAAAGCTTTGGGTGAAAATGTTTTGTTCAAAAATTTTCATAGAGGGGAAAAAATGTTTTTTTTTGTTTTGTTTTTGCTTTTTTGACCAGTCCTTAGTATACTTAAGAAGTCACACTGGAGATTTTTACAATTAATGCATTGTTATTGATCCAATTTAGGCCTTTTAAAGGTGCCCAGATACCACAGTAGTGGGCATCTTGTAAATACTTAAGATAAACTCCTTTGGAATGGTTAGTTATTCTTCTGTATTGTATTTAATCTCCCTGAAAAGGCCATTTTATCTTTCAGTTGTGACAAAACCAGCAGAGTAATTTCTGCAGCACTATCATCAAAGATAAGGACTGACTTCAGGATAGGAAGGAGGCACATGGCAAGAAAGCTGTGGGTGTGCGTGAGCGTGTGTGTGTGTATAAAGAAGACTATATTAATCTCTTAAGAGATGCAGAAGAGCAAAGCAGGAAATACGTACCACCGAGAGTCCACAATGTAACCAAGCGAATCAACCAGCGGGGCTCCCACCTCATCATGCTGCAGACAGGCTGGCATCTGCAAGAGAGAGAGTAAGAGGTTCTGTCCAAAGCACCATTAACTTCAGAATTGTAACCCCAAGATCTGATTCCCCTTTCTCTCACCCGGGAGGTGGTGGTGCTCCCCATAAAAATCAGCAAAACCTGTTCAGTCCATGGGATGGACTGAGAGTGGAGGAGGGCTGTGTGGTGAACCAGGCTATTGTCTGTAGGACCCCTGTCTTATGGAAGGTGTATAGTGACTGAGGCACGGGATGTCAGAAAGAGAAAAGCTGGCACCCTGGTTGAGGAACCTGCATGCCAATGCTGGAGAAGTGGATTCTATCCCTGCCACTGTCCCAGAGCTGATCAGGGAAATGCAGTTTCCATCCTGCAGGAAATTGCAAGTTCTGAAAAGTTTTGATTCAGACACCACAGGATGTTAAAATTAAGAAGTGAAAAAAATGAAAAAAGTCAAGCACACTGGAAAACCTAATCCCAACTACACATATACACTGATGGGGTCTAAATTAGCTGGTACTACTCAAGAAAGGGATCTGGGAGTCACTGTGGACAGTTCTCTGAAAACATCCACTCAATGGGCAGCGGCAGTCAAAAAAGGGAACAGAATGTTGGGAATCATTAAGAAAGGGACAGATAATAAGACAGAAGATATCGTATTGCCTCTATATAAGTCCATGGTACGCCCACAGCTTGACCACTGCATGCAGATGTGGTCGCCCCATCTCCAAAAAGATCTATTGGAATTGGAAAAGGTTCAGAAAAGGGCAACAAAAATGATTAGGGGGATGGAATGAGGAGAGATTAATAAGACTGGGACAGTTCAGCTTAGAAAAGAGATGGCTAAGGGGAGATATGACAGAGGTCTATAAAATCATGACTGGTGCAGAGAAAGTAGATAAGGCAGTGTTGTTTACTCCTTCTCATTACACAAGAACTTGGGGTCACCAAATGAAAGTAATAGGCAGCAGGTTTAAAACAAACAAAAGGAAGTATTTCTTCACACAACGCACAGTCAACCTGTGGAGCTCATTGCCAGAGGATATTGTGAAGCCCAAGACTATAACAGGGTTCAAAAAAGAGCTAGATAAGTTCATGGAGGATAGGTCCATCAGTGGCTATTAGCCAGGATGGGCAGGGACAGAATTTGGGAATAGGCGACAGGGGTCACTTGATGATTTCCTGTTCTGTTCATTCCCTCTGAGGCACCTGGCATTGGCCACTGTGGGAAGACAGGACACTAGGCCAGATGGACCTTTGGTCTGACCCAGTCTGGCCACTTTTATGTTCTTATGCCAGATTGGCTCAAACCCACAGCTCATGTAGTCCAGTGCCCTGTCCCTAACAGAGACTCTCACCAGACGTTTCAGAGGAAGCTGCACGAAACCCACAGCTGTGGATGGTCTGCCCGACTTGTGCAGTCTCATGCTAATCTTTTATAACTCGAGATTGGTGTAAGCATGTGGTTCAGTCTCACTTCCAAAATGTTTGTTAGCATTAAGTCCTCTAACTTTGGATCTCCCTGTTATGCAGATAACCGTCCAATCCCTCTTCAGATCTTGTCCAGGTCCTGGGCTCAACCACATCATGTGGCAGGGAGTTCCACAAGTTCACTGTTCCATGAAAAAGTACATCCTTTAGTCAGTTTTGAACATGCTGCCTTTTCATTTCTTTTTTCCTCTGGTTATTTATTAGCAGAGCCAATAAATTGTTACAAAAGCATTCATATAACTAATGTCACAGCCCTGAAAAGACAAGGTTTGGTGTACTTACAAGACCTGGCCTTCAGAAAACAGTAAAACTAGGATGGTGGCCAAGCAGTAAGGTAGCAGTTTAACACTTCTTCGCTCCCTCCTTAGTATTCAAAGAATGTCGGCCCAACTTGCAGGCTGGGGGCCTCTCTCCTGGGGAGCAGGGACTCTGAAAATGATTTAGGGGTCATGGTGGATAATCAGCTGAATGTGGGTTCCCAATGTGACTGTGTGACCAAAACAGCTGATGTAATCCTGGGATGATTAACAAGGGAATCTCAAGCAGGAGCAGGGAGGAGATTTTTCCTCTGGATTTGGCCCTGTTGCCATACTGTGGGCGTACCATAGAATCATAGAAGATCAGGGTTGGAAGGGACCTCAGGAGGTCATCTAGTCCAACCCCCTGCTCAAAGCAGGACCAACCCCAACTAAATCATCCCAGCCAGAGCTGTGTCAAGCCGGGCCTTAAACACCTCTAAGGATGGAGATTCCACCACCTCCCTAGGGAACCCATTCCAGTGCTTCACCACCCTCCTAGTGAAAAAGTTTTTCCTAATATCCAACCTCAACCTCCCCCACTGCAACTTGAGACCATTGCTCCTTGTTCTGTCATCAGCTACCACTGAGAACAGTCAAGATCCATCCTCTTTGGAACCCCCTTTCAGGTAGTTGAAAGCAGTTATCAAATCCCCCCTCATTCTTCTCTTCCACAGACTAAACAATCCCAGTTCCCTCAGCCTCTCTTCATAAGCCATGTGCTTCGGCCCCATAATCATTTTTGTTGCCCTCTGCTGGACTCTCCAATTTTTCCACATCCTTCTTGTAGTGTGGGGCCCAAAACTGGACACAGTACTCCAGAGGAGGCCTCACCAATGCCGAATAGAGGGGAATGATCACGTCCCTTGATCTGCTGGCAATGCCCCTACTTATAAAAATGCTGTTAGCCTTCTTGGACTGCAGACTTATATCCAGCTTCTCATCCACTGTAACCCCTAGGTCCTTTTCTGCAGAACTGCTGCCTAGCCATTCAGTCCCTAGTCTGTAGCGGTGCATGGGATTCTTCCGTCCTAAGTGCACTTGTCCTTGTTGAACCTCATCAGATTTCTTTTGGCCCAATCCTCCAATTTGTCTAGGGCCCTCTGTATCCTATCCCTACCCTCCAGCATATCTACCTCTCCTCCCAGTTTAGTGTCATCTGCAAACTTGCTGAGGGTGCAATCCACACCATCCTCCAGATCATTTATGAAGATATTGAACAAAACCAGCCCCAGGACCGACCCTTGTGGCACTCCACTTGATACCGGCTGCCAACTAGACATGGAGCCATTGATCACTACCCGTTGAGCCCGACAATCTAGCCAGCTTTCTGTCCACCTTATAGTCCATTCATCCAGCCCATACTTCTTTAACTTGCCGGCAAGAATACTGTGGGAGACCTTGCCTGTTATCCCATGGCAACTCATTTTGCTTAAGAGTAAACTGTTCTGTGCTTAAATAGCACCCAGCACAATGGGGCTCTGGTCTGAGACTAGGGAATTGTGGTGCTACCGTAATACATAGCAATAATAACATATGCCCCCTAGTCTTGGGCCATGATTGGGGTGCCTGGATGCTACCGTAATACACCTAATAAATAGCAATAGTAATGCACAGCACTGAGCACAATGGGGTCTTGCGCCAGGGCTGGGGTACTTGTGTGTTACCGTGATACACCTAATGAATAGTAATCATAATGTATCGTGCCGAGCACCTTGGGGTCCTGGGCCTGGATGGGGTTCCAGGGCGCTGCCATAGTACACCTAATAAATAGCAATCAGAATGTACCACACCGAGCAAAGTGGGGTCCTGGGTTGAGACTGGGGCTCCTAGGCACTGAAGTCGTTATCAGCAGCATCATGAGTCATCAATAAGACAGAGGCGAGCAGAGCTGGAATACTGACCGCAGAGAGTCCACTGCACTCTCGTCATGGAGCAGCCTGCGTCTGCCAGTGAAGGCAGGACAGTCTGTGAAGAGCTGGCTCCTGCCCCAGGCGATCCGCTGAACATCAGGAACGAAGGCACAGGGCGCGATTCCCCTCTCGCTCACCCCCGTAGCGCTCAGGCGTAACTCCCGGCTGGTTCCAATCTCTCATATCCTATGTAATTTAATAGCCAGGAAAGCAAAGGGGTTGCAGACGTATTTGGCAGGGTGCTGTGGAAACGCCTTTAAAAAATGCAGACCTGGTTTCTCATTGATGCTCACACCCCTTTCCCTGGTGTAAATGACATTGAATGCAATTCCGTAGCAGGAATCCAATTCTCTCCGGCATCCCAGGGGAAGCCGAAATGAAGCACCAGCCCTCTAGAGCAGACTACTGTACCCCTTTTAGCAGGGGTTCTCAAATTGGGGTTGGGACCCCTGAGGGGGTCACTAGGTTATTTCATGGGGGGTCATGAGCTGTCAGCCTTCACCCCCAAACCCAGCTTTGCCTCCAGCATTTATAATGTGTTTAAAAAGTGGTTTTAATTTACAAGGAGGGTTGCACTCAGAGGTTTGTTATGTAAAGGGGGTCACCAGTATAAAAATTTGAGAACCACTTCCTTCCAGGAGTCTGATTTGTCTTGTGTACCCCCAAGTTTCCCCTCACTTAAAAATGACCTGCTGACAAAATCAGACATAAAAAGACCAAAGTGTCACAACAGCCACACTATTACTGGCAAATTGCTTCCTTTCTCGTAGTTAGCATATAATTATAAAATAAATCGATTGGGATATAAATATTGTCCTTACATTTCAGTGGACAGTATATAGAGCAGTGTAAACACATCATGGTCTGTATGAAATTTTAGTTTGCACTGACTTCGCCAGGGTTTTTTATGTAGCCTGTTGTAAACCAAGGCAAATATCTAGCTGAGTTAATGTACCCCCGGAAGACCTCTGGTTACCCCCAGGGATACACGTATCCCTGCTTGAGAACCACTGGTCTAGAGAAAGGGGATCGTTTTCTATTACAAATAGAAAATGGAGGGGGGGAGGATGTTTCTGTGCTGGGAACTGAGGGCTTGTGCCTCTCCCAGAGAACGTGTCCTCCCGATCAGACCGGAGAGCCTCCCCCATGGCCACATGCTGCCCAGCGTCCTGCAACGAGTGGCCTGACCCTGGCTAACTCGATGGCCCGTGTGGAGCGTTAGGAGCAGAGCCCAGCTCAGGACACCTAAAATGGCAGTTCGTCAGCAGCTGCTACAGTGCCTCTTTGGCCTTCAAACAACCAGCTGCTGACAAAACAAGGCCCAAAGCCAAGAAAGGCCACTTACCGGCTTCCCTCCCAGGTGCCCCGACTCTGCAAAGAGCTTACAGAGTGATTTGTGTTCGGTTTCCCATCGCTCTCATGGCTCTCTCCCACCATCACCGAGCAGGGTGAATGATCTGGAAAGTGAAAGCAACTGGCAGGTTTTTTTTTCTCCTGTTTCACTTTGAAAGCAGTGAGCAAACAGCCCAGTTCCAGCGCTGCCGGCTCCCCAGCCGACGAGCCGGGAAGCCGACCCGCACCAAGAATCCTGAACGTCACAGACGGTGGGAGATTAGGGGCAGGTCTGCACTAGAAATGGACATCGGCGTGGCTGCAGCACCCCCCTCGCACATCTGGGGAGACGCTCTAAGCCAACGGGAGAGAGCTCTCCCCGTCAGCTTCGTAACTCCACCTCCGTGAGAGACACTCTCCCATCCACATACAGCTGTCTACACTGCAGGTGTGTGGATTTGTCACACACACACACCCCCAACCCCCCTGAGTGACACAGTAAGTGTGTAGTGCAGCCCTGGCCAAAGAGCTGAAGGTGACGCTGCCAAATTTCCTGGGAGGACGCTCTTTGACTCTTGCCAGAGGGTTTACACATGCCCTAATGGAGTCCCCTGGCAGAGAGCTGGGTTAGCATGCCCCAGGCCAGTGCTAGGGGGCGCTGTGCTGCAGGGGGCAGGGCAGGGACTCTCCCCTGGCACTCAGGGCTGGCCCCGATGCCCCAGCAGGGTGCTAGGGGTCACCAACCTCCTTTCTGTGGTGTTTCCAGAGAATCATGGCCATGTCGGGCTGGATGGGATCATGACGTCCAGCCCCCTGCGCCAAGGCAGGACCAAGTAAACCCAGACCTGCCCTGACTGGGTTTCGTCCAGCCCCAGCAGGGCTAGATGACCTTGCTAGATGTGTCATTTGTGGGTTGCAGTGGGTGGCCAGGAGAGGTGGCAGGGAATTGTCACTCTTAGCTGACCAGTTGGGCACTTGTGTGCTCCCCACCTTCTTGCCGTGGCTTTAGCTCTCTCTGGAGTAAGGCCAGATAGGGGTAGTCCCCTAGTCCTGGGGGACTGACGGGGAGATGCTCATGAACTCCCTCCCGAGGGGTCACGGTTTCAAAACCCCATGAAGCTCTTTGGGGAATTGGATAATATCCAAATAAACAAGAACCAGGAGTGAACATTTCAAAAGTGCCTTAGGAGCTAAGGGCTGGATTTTCAAAGGTATTTAGGTGCCAGAGGATGCAGAAAGGCACCTAGTGGAGTTTTGGGAAGTGCTCCAGCAGGGTAGCCACCCAACTCCCATTGATTTCCAATCCCTCTTTGCACCTTTAGGTACCTAAATAGCTATGGAAATATAGCCCTCAGTCACTTATCAAAATAGAACTTTGGTGCCTAAGTCCCTTAGGCTTTGCTATGACCTGAGTTAAAGAGCCTCCATTGTCTACGTGCTCTCTCTGAGGAGTCTCCATGGTATCCAGTTCCTGGGAAAGTCCTTGGGAGTGTGGATTCCCTTTAGTAGACCATCAGTGCATCTGGCTCCTCCTTTGCAGCACCTGAGAAGGCTGGTTGTGGCTGTTCCCAATAAGGCAGCCCTCCCCAGAAACCTTCTGGAAAGAATTGCAGAGAACCTCCATGAAAGTTTCCTCTCATGGAGGATTCCTGGGCCATCCCTTGTGCACATAAACATCCTTTTTGGGAGAGAACCCTCTGCATAGTTGGGGCAGCCACTGGGAATCAGCTACACACTGCACCTCACTTTTCCTTCATATTAAACATAAAATATAAGAGCATGTAACCCCTACAGTTTCATTGGAATTGCATCCCCACAAGAGGTGCCTTCCCCGGCATCACACCTGACCACGATGCTGTTCTGGGAATGGCTGAACTGCTCTGGGGTTAAAAGTAGCTCCTGGCTCTCAGGAAGAATGGATCCCCTGCTCGCCTGCCTTCCATTCTCCTCCTCCTGCTCTTTGTCCACAGTGTCCTCCTCGTTGTTGCCGGAGGTAGAATCATAGAATCATAGAATATCACAGTTGGAAGGGACCTCAGGAGGTCATCTAGTCCAACCCCCTACCCAGAGCAGGACCAATCCCCAACTAAATCATCCCAGCCAGGGCTTTGTCAAGCCTGACCTTAAAAACTTCTAAGGAAGGGGATTCCACCACCTCCCTAGGTAACACATTCCAGTGTTTCACCACCCTCCTAGTGAAAAAGTTTTTCCTAATATCCAACCTAAATCTTCCCCACTGCAACTTGAGAGCATTACTCCTTGTCCTGTCATCTGCTATCACTGAAAATAGTCTAGATCCATCCTCCTTGGATTCACCTTTCAGGTAGTTGAAAGCAACTATCAAATCCCCCTCGTTATTCTCTTCTGCAGACTAAACAATCCCAGTTCCCTCAGCCTCTCCTCATAAGTCATGTGTTCCAGTCCCCCAATAATTTTTGTTGCCCTCTGCCAGACATTTTCCAATTTTTCCACATCCTTCTTGTAGTGTGGGGCCCAAAACTGGACACAGTACTCCAGATGAGGCCTCACCAATGTCGAATAGAGGGGAACGATCACGTCCCTCGATCTGCTGGCAATGCCCCTACTTATACAGCCCAAAATGCCATTGGCCTTCTTGGCAACAAGGGCACACTGTTGACACATATCCAGCTTCTCGTCCACTGTCACCCCTAGGTCCTTTTCTGCAGAACTGCAGCCGAGCCATTCGGTCCCTAGTTTGTAGCGGTGCATGGGATTCTTCCGTCCTAAGTGCAGGACTCTGCACTTGTCCTTGTTGAACCTCATCAGATTTCTTTTGGCCCAATTCTCCAATTTGTCTAGGTCCCTCTGTATCCTATCCCTACCCTCCAGCGTATCTATGACTCCTCCCAGTTTAGTGTCATCTGCAAACTTGCTGAGGGTGCAATCCACACCATCCTCCAGATCATTAATGAAGATATTGAACAAAACCGGCCCCAGGCTCTTGGGGCACTCCACTTGATACCGGCTGCCAACTAGACATGGAGCCATTGATCACTACACGTTGAGCCCGACAATCTAGCCAACTTTCTACCCATCTTGTAGTGCATTCATCCAGCCCATACTTCCCTAACTTGCTGACAAGAATACTGTGGGAGACCATGTCAAAAGCTTTGCTAAAGTCAAGGAATAACACGTCCACTGCTTTCCCTTCATCCACAGAACCAGTTATCTCATCATAGAAGGCAATTAGATTAGTCAGGCATGACTTTCCCTTGGTGAATTCATGCTGACTGTTTCTGATCACTTTCCTCTCGTCTAAGTGCTTCAGAATTGATTCCTTGAGGACCTGCTCCATGATTTTTCCAGGGACTGAGGTGAGGCTGACTGGCCTGTAGTTCCCAGGATCCTCCTTCTTCCCTTTTTTAAAGATTGGCACTACATTAGCCTTTTTCCAGTCGTCCGTGACTTCCCCCGATCACGATGGGTTTTCAAAGATAATTGCCAATGGCTCTGCAATCACATCCGCCAATTCCTTTAGCACTCTCGGATGCAACGCATCCGGCCCCATGGACTTGTGCTCGTCCAGCTTTTCTAAATAGTCCCGAACCACTTCTTTCTTCACAGAGGGCTGGTCGCCTCCTCCCCATGCTGTGTTGCCCAGTGCAGTAGTCTGGGAGCTGACCTTGTTCGTGAAGAGAGAGGCAAAAAAAGCATTGAGTACATTAGCTTTTACCACTTCCTCTGTCACTAGGTTGCCTCCCTCATTCAGTAAGGGGCCCACACTTTCCTTGGCTTTCTTCTTGTTGCCAGCATACCTGAAGAAACCCTTCTTGTTACTCTTAACATCTCTCGGTAGCTGCAACTCCAGGTGTGATTTGGCCTTCCTGATTTCGCTCCTACATGCCCGAGCAATATTTTTATACTCTTCCCTGGTCATTTGTCCAATCTTCCACTTCTTGTAAGCCTCTTTTTTGTGTTTAAGATCAGCAAGGATTTCACTGTTAAGCCAAGCTGGTCGCCTGCCATTCTTTCTACACATTGGGATGGTTTGCCCCTGTAACCTCAAGAAGGATTCTTTAAAATACAGCCAGCTCTCCTGGACTCCTTTCCCCCTCCTGTTATTCTCCCAGGTGGACCGGGACTCCTGGGAGGTAGCCATGCTGCGTTTTGGGGGTAGCGTTGGGGTCGCTGCTGAGAATCGCACGCAGCTCGTTGTTGAACCAGAATGATTGTTTGCCTCCCTTGTCTTCTGATACCCCTGCCTGCTGAAGTGCTTTGGTTTTCACACGGCACTGTTGCATGTCCCGGGTGTAGCCTGTCTCCACCATGCCCCACGCGATCTTTGCGTAGGTGCTCGACATTTCTTCGGCTGGATGGGAGCTCTGCCTCCACAGACTCTTCTTCCCACACGGCAATAAGATCCACCGCCTCCTGTGTACTCCACGCTGGGGCACATTTGGGGCATTGAGTCACCACGCTCAGCTAAGCTGTCGACCCATCAACATCAAATTAATTAAGTAATTAAGTCAATGCTACAGGCGGGTTAGGTTGGCGGAAGGGACCTCCTACTGTA